CAAGGTTACATTGATTTTCTTAAATGGAACACCCTATTTTTAATTCAAGAATCTAATAGCTGATGTCGAGAGCTTTCCAAAACGCTGTAATATTTTTTTATGAAGTACTTTTCAAGTTATAATGTTCAAAGTATCGCCGGCATTATAGCATTACCCAAAATATTTAATTCTGGAGACTGGCCAGTCAAGGCGAAATCGGTTGGTGGTCCGTGAATCTTGACCTTCAGGTAACGCACAAACAAAAACAACGTAGCAAAAACATAACGTACCTTCATTGGCTGCATTATTCTCCAATCTTTCTCCGAGCACAAAAGACATGTCAATCCGCCTGGGCAACCTCCGCGTGGTATTACATATCTTGGGTAATGCTAGTGCCGGCGATATTGTAACTTTGAAGCATTATAACTTGAAAAGTACTTCATGAAAAAATATTTCATTATAGCGTTTTGGAAAGCTCTCGACATCAGCTATTAGATTCTTGAATCAAAAATAGGGTGTTCCATTTAAGAAAATCAATGTAACCTTGACCTGACCTTGGCTACGCAACCCAAGGTCAAACTGATTGGATTAGTAAATAGATATTTTTAAACTATATAACTTTTGTCTGAAACACTTTTGTGTAAAACTTATATTTTCCGAGCTATTTAGGTGTCCCGACCATTTTGGGACACCCTGTATATATACGTTCAAATGCAAAAAAACGGGCCACTAAATTTTTGCACAAATTTTTAATATTTTTAAAAAGCAATAACTCAGTGAAAGTTATCGTAACGAGATGTTTAAAAAAGCTTTTTAAAACTTTAAATCTCTACTATTCAGATCAGTACTTTAGAAAATGGTCTTACTGATATTTCTATATCTACCATAGTTTTCGAGAAATCATAATGCATTATTAAAAATAGGATACCCTGTATATATGTAGATATGACAACTGATATTATGTTGCAGGTATAGTGAATAAGAAGAACTTGGACTATATTGTAATATTGGTACACAAAATATATACCGTATCTATTCCAAAACCAGATAATACAGAGCAATGGTTAGGTGAGTCAGTGGAGATTGGTCAGGAAATAAGATGTTGCGTCACTCAACTACATCATAAGAGCAAACCTCCTTTCATCTGCGCCAGTTTGAAATCCGATTATTCGCAAGGTTGTAGGTTGTCAGAAAGCATAATTAATATTGATGTGGACAGTGCACCTGAAAGTACAAATAACTATGAAGATTGACATTGGCTTTTATCGACATTCATAGATAGAAAGGTCGGAGATTCAGAGAAGGAAAGTTGCAAATTGTGCATACCATGCTATCCCTTCCACCATAATGCATAGTGCATAATCAATCAATCGAAATTCTTCCTTTCCATGGAATAGGAGAAAAGATTCTGATTAGTTCATTCATTTATGCACTATGCGTTATGCAAAAGTCTGTGCTGCAGCCTCAGACGGGGAGCACAAACTCCTGCATAACGCATAACACACAATACATAAGAAAATAAACCAATCAAAGTCCTTTATTTCCTTTCTTTCCACGAAACAGACTGATTGGTACATTTTCTTATGCATTACATGTTATGCATTATGCAAGAATCTGTGCTCCCCGCTTATGGTTGCAGCACAGACTTTTGCCACGGAGTACATGACAATTACATTGTGTATACGTTACAATATTCTGTATCTGTAATAAAATGTTTTTATGTTTCCTATTATATGCTGTTGCTAATCCTATATATAGTTATCTCGTTTTATTGTTTGATGCTTTTATTAAACGCTAACTGATCGTACAATTATAAAAATATTTGTTTCTGTATATTTTCATTTAGTGCATTTTTCTTATTACATGGATAAGACTAGTCAGTTCTATAAAAAACTTTAATTCAATCTTTTTCAATTTTAATAAGAAATTTTAATTCTGAATTTGATAATATTACAAGCGCTTTTTTCTTTTTAAATTTTTTTGATACATAATTAAGATCTAAATTACTTGAATCATATATATTGCTGATATATTGTATTTCATATTGAGATCCTTCAGAATCGTGTTTAATTGTTCGGAAAATATCATTTATATCATTCGAAAAATACCATTTATATCGTTCGTTGAATTTTCACTTTTAATTTTAAACTTAGAATCTAAATCTCTTGACAAATTTGCATGTTTCTGAAGACTTTTTCCTTTCCTTATCTGAGGTTACGGATATCACCGATTATGTCATATTCTTTCTTAATTTCGATAGATTTTGATCATGAGCCTCTTAAATTATGTTTCTTAGGACCCTTTTTCTTTTTTTTTAAAGTGTTATATTTAATAAAATTTCCTTTTTTCATAAACTTAGGCATTTCAAAAGTTTAATTTAAATTTTGTACGACTTGAGTCTCGTTACATGATATTTGGCTTTTTGTTCTTTCATTAATAATTCTGTTTATACATGGACTTAAGTTTATACATGGTCTTATTTTTCAGTCTTTATTTTAACAACGTGAGTCTCTGATTCCGAATTTGACATTATAGGTGGCTTCTTGCTTTTCTTATATTTTGTAGATACACTACTTTCTAAATTATTTGAAAAAGTATTAACGTTTAATACAATATACTTGCATATTGCTTTTCTTCACATTTAAGATAGGGAATAATATTCCTTGTACTATTAACTATTTCTTCGTTCGGCGGGGGCGCAGGCCATGATGACGCAGTGCCTCGCCGAGTGGGGGGGAGGGCTGGCCATCGCCGCTGACCCGTACTACATCCCAGAGAACCACCCCAACTGGGCGGGGGACTCTCTGGGATGGGTGGCGATGGCCTGTCTGCACGCGCGCGGCACCCCGCCGATGATTCCCATATCGGCGGGAGAAGGGTTCCTCCTCGTGGAGTGGGGGCCTATCGATGTCGTAGGATGCTATTTCCCTCCTCACCTCGGCAGGAAGGAGTACGGGGAGGCCCTGGAGTCCCTGGGGGAGCAAATCCACCATCGCTCCCCCAGACCAGTCATCGTGGGAGGGGACTTTACCGCCCACTCTACAGAGTGGGGTTCCCCTTCCACAGACTCCAGGGGCGTTAGCACCCTGCAGTGGGCGGCGAGACTCGGCCTGGGCTGCGTTCAGATACCACACTCGGGAGCACCCAAGCTCCCGAATGCCGTTCAGAAACCAGTTGAGAGTACCTCAGCGTTACCTAGGTGGCCCGTTCAGAAACATGCCGGGTGCTCCCGATCGGGAGACTTTTGCACCCTGCTCTTTTGTAGGGTGGAAAGTCTCTCGATCGAGTGGCCACATAAAGGCTGCGTTCAGCAAACCCACAGTTTTGCAACCGTTTTATGATTCGTTGCGCTGATTGGATTATACTTTTAGATTTAAAGCAGCGAAGAATCACAAAACGGTTGCAAAACTGTTGTGTCTGCTGAACGCGGTCAAAGCTAGGAAACATGGCTACAAATAAAAATTTATTGCAATTTAATAAAGAAAATCAGATTATATTATGGAATCCCGAAAGTAAGTAAAATATATTTTACTTCAATCGATTATAATTTACGATGAAGTACAATAAAGGTTTTTTCATGTTGCGAATGAAGTCCCGTTAAAGTGTAATAACTGTATAGTGTTCTTTGGTAAATCAATTTGTTTGCAAAATATTTATCTTTAAACGTAATTATAATTAATTGAATATAATGTCTAACTTGATTGCATTTATTTGCACAAAACATCTAATATTATGGGTTATTGACCTTGTTTACAGGAACACTTGATACGCGTATTAAGTAGTAAATGTCTATTAAATTATCTTGATTTCGGCAATGCATAAAGAATGGTGTACTACTCCCGTACAATATGTATCAAAATGATTAATTAAATTAGTCATATCATGTATATGTTTACATGTATCGCTGAAATTAAGATAATATAATAGAAAGTTTACTAGCTAGTACAATATCAAGTGCTTGATGTACACTAGGTCATTGAAGTTATCTATCATCTCTTGTGTTTTCTATTTCTATATTCATTTGCAAAAAATATGGGCCACTATCGATACATGGCTTATATGTTTCAATGAATACATATTTATGTTTGATTAAATATTCATAATTTTTTTTAGATCAGAACATTGTTACTATACCTACTATTAAAAGTTTAACAGAATTGCAACTTACGAAAACTAATAACGAATGTGTAAAAGACAATAATCTATGTACAACAGGTTTGTTTTGTGATGCAAATTTTGTATTTTTTCTTTATCATCTCTACATTTCTTTAATGTTGTGTTATTGCAGCATCAACAAGTAATGTTGCTTCCAATGTTTGTAAAAAAGGGGATACACTTGAAAATTCTCAAGGTATGCTATGATCTTGTTTACACTGAGTACTTGATACGCTTACTAACTACTTTCTATTAAATTATCTTAATTTCGGCGATGTGTGTTAATGACGTGTATACATGATTTAATTTAATCATCTTGACACATGTTGTATCAACTTAGAACATTTTTGTTTACCATTCTTTAAATATATGCCGAAATTAAGATTATTTAATAGAAACTTATTAGTTCGTAAGTGTATCAAGTGCTCGGTGTAAAAGGATATTACTAATAAAAATAGTAATAATAATCACCGCGTTTTTTAATGTTAAGTTTTTCATTGATTTTTCCCTATTATTATTTCAGCTGCGTCTTGGAAAGATGACTACGCTGTAAAAAAGCTAATTCATTTGTGGAAAACAAATCAGTCACTATTTAAAAGTCCCAAAATTCGTAATGATGTAGTGTGGCGACAGATAGCTAAAGAATTACAGGATTCAAATTCCAATTGGCTTTATACAGGCACTCAATGTGAAAATAAATTCAAAGATATTCGGAAAAATTTCTTCGTCATTGTCACTTTCATCACTTTCTTCACTATCCATATTCAGCATGATGTCTCTCAATAATTTATCACTTGCAGCAATCGCAAGAGCTAGAATACGTTTTTTACGCTGCGCCATTTTTCTACCATTTCACTCACCTAGGGCCGTTCAGAAATGTACACACTAGAGAGGGTACCTTATCCCTACCATTTCACTCACCCAGCCTCCTAGCAATCACCCGCAAGGTGACGTTTCTGAACGCAGCCCTGGTACTCTTGAACCAGGGCCGGGTCAGCACCTTCGTGGGGCCGCGGGGGGAGTCCATTATAGACCTCACGTGGGCGACCCCCGCGGCGGCTCAGCGAATCAAGGGTTTGCACGTGGACGCCGGCTCCTTAGGAGAACTATCCGATCACCGGATCATCCGAATGGAGCTGGTGCCCACTAGAGTCCCTAGAAGTAAGAGTTGCGCCAATCTTGTACTATTTTTGATTGGCTGGATGAATAATGGCGGAACCAATCAGTGATGACTGAGTATGTGGAAGGGAACCTGCACACACGTGCGCAACGTAAAATGAATTCTTTTACTGAGAACAGGATTATGAGTATAATTAGAAGATAAGAATTATTGGATAGGTTATTAAGGAACACACACACACACACACACACACACACGAAAAGTATATAATAGAAATACAATATGTTTATAGATGGAACAAAAAATGAAATAAAAATAAAATACACAAAATACAATATTTTATCAAAATGATATATTCATTATTAAAATCTTCATAAACAAAGCAATATATTCATATGACTAAATCATTAAATATATTTTAATTCAACATAAAAACATTCAATATTTTAATTTAATATATTAATTGAATGTAAACTGCTTATAAAATATAATGCAATTGAAACAAAAATCTAACATCTTTCAATAAAATGAGATAAGTTTGAAATGTTTATTTTATTAATGAATGCATAGCCATAGTTTTGCTATTAAAAACAGGTTTATTTAATCGTTCTGACTGACAACTTTTTCTTAGCTTAAATTTAATAAAACGAGTTTTAATTTTGTTGGATAAACCGTGACAATTTTTTAATGTGTCGCATTTAATGTTCTCCATGTTTGTAATGAAAAATTTAACAATATCACAATTTATTTTGCTCAATGTAAGGTAAATATGTTTTAATAATAATATGCAGTTTAAGAAAAAAAACGAATGTTTTATCGTTTATAAAAAATGTTTTCTTTCTATAACATTTGAGACTAACAAGTCGTGAATATCTGTTTTCAATTTTAGAATCGTATGTTTTGGATCCAGCAGATTCAATACATTTTTCGCAAGTCTTTTGATTTTTAATTATACTATGTATAATGTAACCACATAAATAATATAACGAATTTAATTCTAGTCTGTCCAACTTTATTAATTTGTTGTCAGGTTTAGGTGGTATTATATTAGGTATTTCTTCAAATTGTTTATTCGAACACTTTTTTGGGGAACGTTTTAAAAAATCACCCAATAAAACACCATTATCTGTTTCGTAATTAGTGTTTCGTATATCTTGTAAATATTGGGAAACAGTAATATTCTTTAAACTTTGCTTGAATTGCAATGCATTAGGTGTTGGAAATCGTCGCCTAATATTCGAAAAGAGATTTTCAACAAAATCATTCGAAAACCTAGCTCCTAAAACGTATGCAAAACCGCGTTCTTTGATTAAATAATCAGTTGGTTGTATATATGATGTGGTTGTTAAAGTAAGACCAGTTTGTACAGGTTTGTACAGGTTTGAATGTACCCTTGTTTCCGATTTGCATGTTACAGGATAAATCGATGCATAACTGTAAAAAATGTATGGTTTTTTTTATACATTTCTTCATTTTTAGGGTTTTTCCCTAAAGCAAGTATTGCATGACGTGACGTAATGATATTAAATCATTTGGCTATAATCTCTACAAATGTCGCTGTTGTTCGATATTCATCATTATTTCGCTCTTCACTTAAAAAATTCAAAGCACCGCTTACATCTCTACTAAACATGTTTGCTGCTTT